AAATTTTAATTTATATTTTATGGGTCCGTGTCTATGAATTGATGCATTTTCCAAAAAGCCGTAGATTGCAAGCTAGCAAGACACCCCTGTCATCTTTCACACTGTCACGATTCGTGACCTATTTGCAAATGTCACGATAAAGGTTCATTATGYAATCGATTCGGTCATCGATTGTGTAACTATTCAAAAAAAATCATTTCGATTTGTAATAATAATTTGCATACATCGATTATATTCAATGTTCGTTTTATATCCTTGCTCGCACATATAATAGTATAAGATAAGACTATATTATATCAGGCGCCGCGTATACACGCAGTCATAAAATTGTCGGCGCCGTCAGTTTATGTTTCGGTGCGTTTCGCACTAAAAAWAATTCCGTATATTTAATTCAATAGCGTAAAATTATCGGGTATTAAAAATTATACATTTATAATATAGATACGCATAGTTTTATCATATAAGTATTCGCGTGGTAATGGTGTAGTGTTGATGAACCGATAATATTATACCGATCAATCAGTGTAAGTACGTGTGGCGAATGCGTGAGAATAGTGCAGTTTATACGGTTCAAATTTGTATAAGTCAAGAACCTTATTTCTGCAGGGATCAACAAATTGCGGGTCACTGAAAACTTTATCAATTTTTCGTTTTTCAATCATTATTATTTTCATTAAACGAGGATTTTATTCGTTTACATTCGATTCTTTTTATATTTTATCTTTACTTTCTTTAGACAGATAAACACGTGCCTACGTTACATTTTGATGGCCATCAAAAATTTCCGTATTTCTTGAARAGGCCTTCGAAAATACTAAATTTGACAATCCCTTGGCCATTGCATATATAATTTATATCTACTGAGTRTACGCAATAATGCAAATATACCAACTACATAATGACGTTCGTACCATATACAAAATACCGTACGATACGAACGACTATATTATTTTGAGTTATGAGTTTMTGACGTATAGACAACCTATCAAATATTCGAAGTTGCCCCGTTTTCCGTCGAGTGTTTTGTTAATATTTATTTTCTGTAAGTATACGTTTAAAATATTACTCACTTGACTATAGTGACGTATTTCCTGGAGCTGGTCGGTTAAATATATCGGCGGCAGACGTCGTTCGCATGCCTTTTGTTCGAACGCGCGACAATAATACATGGCGACAAAGGCAATGGCAATATAATAATACATTAATACGTATATCGAYGCGAACACACACACTATTACTACCTACTACTACCATACGGTCTAAACGTTTTCCCGTCAAAAACACAACCGGACGTAACGAATGTGGTATATAATATACGTGTACCTAACATACACTGCAGTGTGTCAGGAGCAGATAAACCGTACATAGAATATAATATATACGAGTTTATAGGTACAAAAGACGTGTGCTGGTGCGGAGAACGTTTCCAGCGGCGATTGCGACAGACCAAGACGATGGTATTATAATGACATTGCGTGTTTTTGTTGTTGTTGGTTTTTTGAATTTCGTCCAACCGGGTTCACACTACTACGCTTTATATGTTTTTTCACACGATCAATGATCATATATATATATATATATATATATATAATATATTTATATACCGAGCACGTACGTACATATATAATATAGTGTAAGTGTAATTTAATATTATGATGATAATATACAACTTGACATGTACATCATGCGCGCGTCGGCAAAACGTTAGACTGCAACAGAGCTTTTTATCGGACCAAAAACAACAACGAAAAACCCTGCAAACCCAAACACGACGATTTCTTTGAAAAATGTCTTTGGGCTGAGGAGGGGTTGGAAAATGAAAATTCCGTAACTCTATCTTGTCAAGACACGTTACGCCATTACAATAATATAATATTATGTAWATAATATTACTGCAGCTGCAGTACACACACACATAATATTTATTATGATAATATAATATWATTGTAAATAATATGCACTGCAACGCCGATGCAGTGTGCAACTACTATTATAATATGATCACGTCATAATAGTACCATAATAATATTATAGTGTAGGTATACTACGGTAATACGTACGGCCGACGGCGGCGTGAACGACCGGAAATCGGTGTACGCGTCATCGGGATCGGCGATTTACATAATACGAAAATTATACGAATCGCGCAGGAAACCGGCGGAGGACGGAAGCGGCATCCACGTACGTATGTCCAACAGGTAGTTGTTTCGAGCGCCGAGCAACAGTTAACGCCGACAACGAAAACGATTTACTCGCATCGCAAAGCAGRCCTTTAAAAATACAATAACTTATTGTGTGCGTGTGATACAATATTTTTATAATACGATTGTAAACATMGCGAGTGTGTTGCAATATTATGTCTCACGAGTGGACKGACGGATGACCGTGGCGACGGTTTTTGCGTGTATACACCGCGGACGCCGAGCAGAAGCTAACCGAACCTGCAGAACGCGCGTGTTGTACACGGTGCGGTACGCGAAGACGAGTGAGGCCCGAGGGTTATTTCTACCACTGGCGGTGGGCACAGACTGCGCGTGTGGTGGATACGTCGGCGTATCGCTGTCGCCGCCGCCGCCGCCGAGGTGTGGTGATCCGAGCACGCGCCTTACGTTCGGCACTATATACCACGGTTGCAGTGCAGTACACAATTATTATAGGTACGAGTACGAGTGATGGTCCGTTCGTATCACCACCACACGGCCCCGATTCGATGACTTTTAGTTCGTTTTTTTTTTTTTTTTGTAGTTCATTCGACCGACGACGGTGACGCAATGATATTACGTATCGTCATAACCATAAGCCTCGTCRTGCTGTTCGMCAGTCGTATGCAGAATAGGATTTTTACGGTACATATTATACTCCTCCGCCCAACGACGATAATATTGCAGCAACAGGTCAACATCGCCACGCGTGATTAGGCAGCGACGATGTTAGTGATGAATCCGAAAACACCAGAGTGACAAATGTAGAAAATAAACAGCGAGTATGGTCATCGGCCCAAACTAAAATGATTATTATAAATTACATTGCATCCCATCTATATATAAGTATCCCCGTCGTCCACTCAACCTTTGACAAATATCCATCGCGAGTGACGAATATATACTCGAAATAGTTGGGGTGGCGATCATTTTTTGGGTCTAGTGCCAAATTTTTGCAATTTTTGATCATTTTTCCCGTGYACGAAGTTTGTAAACACTAAATAAAAAATATAAAATATTGTGATAATATAATAACATAATCAATTTTACATAATATAGGAATATTGTAACTTTTAAAATGTTTATAATTTATTTCTTTGAATTTTTTAAAATAAAATTTAAAAAATAGCATAATTTTTCGCATGCCCTTGAAATTTGAGAAAACGTGCCACTTCGGCACGCTTGTCGTGGGTTTGCCACCCCTGATATATATTGTATACTGATCAACATCAATGCCCCTCTCCGATACCAGAGATTTCGTATTCTCGCTTAGTCGTGTGTTTATATGTGCGTGCGTTTTATGTATGATGTATACCTATGCTCTGTACGTGGACCATCGTAGGTTKGAGGTGACAACTCTTGGAGTTTCATGCTGCACGTGTAATTTGTTCGTTCCCTTCCGCCACTTCCGGTTTACGTTTCCGCTTTTCGCATTCGGTTGATTTCATCACGCCGACACCGCGCAAACAATGCTCACTAATATTGTTATTAGTATAGCACCAGTACACGTTCGTATGAAAATTATAGATGGTAATTGAAATATATTATGTACCGTATATTATATGGTAGGTTCATTATTGGTCGGTATGTGTATATGAACACTACTGTATTTGTGCTGTGTGTAGGTGGTCGATAATAATTATAAAAAATTTACGTACTTTTTATTGATATTTGTACATGCAGTATTATACAGAGCACGTAGTACGCTAGTACATATTGTGTACTATATATGTATGGATATCATACTGTGGGATAATACTCAGCTATTACTAAAATAACTTCTATCGTACAAAAATAACCTATCCCTTTTTGCCYAAATGTGATAAAACCATTTCCTGATAATAATTGCATTTTTTTTTTACCGCAGTTTTATTTTCAATATTTTGTGAAACGTAATACATCAAAATAATTTTTTTTGGTAATTTCTTATTTCTTATTGCACTACACGAAGGTATTTTTTTTACTATWTAGCAAATAAGTTTAATAAATCCATTAATAATTACCCAGAAAGCAGGGATTTCCGTGAAAAGGTGGTTAGTTTGGTTAATAGTCCTTTTACTCTCCAAAATGTTTGTATTCATCATATAATAATACTATAGATAGGTATTTGCTATTTATCAAGAGGTCATTAAAAAAATGTAATTAAACATGTGTGGTTAAATTCCATACGTATGTAGCTCATGCTTAGTTAATTCTTCTCCATTTTATTGTTGGATTATATTGTCGGTTTTAATTGACGTCCTTTTATTTTCTTATCTTAAGGAAAGTGATATAAATGGATCCTATTTAATTAAATATAAAAATCAATTTAGACTTCTTGTTTTACAGCAAACATACATATATATGTAGAGAGAGAGAATTACAATAAAAACTTTAATTAATGAATGTTTTAAATGACCTAAAAGGCCACAAGCATTTATTGTCACTATAATATATATACAGATAATATTGTTAGATACAGCCTATAAAAAAAACCTGTTACTCGTACAGTCGTATTAGTTATAATTTATAAGTTATAATTTTTAAGTCTTTTAGTTAAAAATGTTATAAGTTATAACAAATTAATTTATGATTAATAAACCTAAAATTATACTTAGGAGTTTTTGRACAAATATATCTAAGCAATAATAACTATAAATAAACCATTTCAAACATAAATTATTTTGAGTCATGCTTCCACCAAATCGTTAACCGTAAAATCATAGGTAAAAAGAATGCTAATATTACATATCAAAAATAGGAAAATAATTTAATATGATTGGTAAAACAGAGGAATGTAAAATAAGTAAATAAGTAGGTAAAAAAGATTACAATAACAACATCATATTATAYATTTCACTTTTTATCATATGACTTTTTCGTGTTATTTGATGTATCTGAATGTTGCACTTCGAAGGCGGTTGCCGTCATTAGCTCGGTTCTATTTKATTTCGACGACTTAATATTTGAAATTGAGTAATTTACTTCAACTGATTTACTAACTATTAGATTTTTTTTGTCACTTCTATTTAATATATAATTATACTCACCCAARACTTTAAGKTCTTTTAAACCATCAATGTTAGTTAATATACAGGTGTAACAATTTTAATTTATGTACAATTTAAAACCATTTATTTTCCCTCTTTTCACTGGTTTATAAAACGATAGTAAATTACTTAACTAATTTCAGAACTTTGCCCCGTTCTGACCTGTACCGACGTAATTTATTTTATTGGATTTTTCATATTTTATATAATATTATACTTATACACGAAACACGAAACGAAAATATATTGTTGGCCATGCGTAACCGAATGGTCTAATAATTTCTAATAAAATTTACAAACTATGAGTAACGGTGATAAGTAGTGAGACCTTATATTATATACAATAATAATTTTCTAACATTTCCAGTTTCGTCTATACCTACTCCATACGCCTAAGTATTATGCACTAGTATATTATTCAATCGTGATTTTCCAGCRTGGCAACATTGCACGAAATAACAGTAGGAAATAGTTTTATATAAAATGGTAATATCACCTATATAAGCACCGTACGCAATCGTACGCAATGACACCCATTAAATTGGTCTCGAATCGGGGAAACGAATTTAGTTTCACCAGATCATAGAATTAATGTAAGTTTATGTCATTATTATAAAGTTATGAATTATAAATATAAATTTTATCACCATGGTGTAAGCTATTCATGGTACTCTTATAATACAAGAAATAATAATATAAGACCTCGTGCAAGAATCGTCACCGACATAGATATTATAAGAATGGATAGGACACGCGTATACTGGCTCCACAAGAGGTTGCGGTCTTTTTTGAGGAAGAGAGAAAGTTCAATATCTATGAGAGGGATAGACCATAAGAGTTCTTTTTTGAGGTTAGGTCACTAAAATTAATAATTTAAGATACTAATGTTATCTTTGATAAAAATTTGAAATAACAATATATTTTACATTTACACTATATTATAGATTTATATTGCTTTAAAATTGTATAATTCTTATTAGTTTATAATATTAAGTATCTGATTGCTAACTGTTTGCTACATTTATAAAAAAAAAATGAAATCTTTATAACCTTAAAAATGTTATCACTTTATTCTCAGTTAAAAAACTCGATGTCCTATCCATTCTTATATAATCTATGTTCGCCGATCGTACGTAACGGAAAATTGGTCGAAATATTTAATGGACGCCTTCGAGAGATTAATTTCGAAGAAAAATAATAAATAATATAACATCATACAACGGCCGTAGCCATTTTCTTCCATAAACAAGATACCATTTTCCTCTACTGTCTAAAAAAAAAAAAAAATGATAAATAAATAGACTACCTATAATATTATATTTTTTTTATAATTATAGTATAGAATATAGATAGTACAGTGCATTTCAACAAAAGATGAATACCTGTTTAAATAAAATAAAAATTAAACATAATATATGAATAATTATTTTACTTTTTGTGATTGCTGAAACTAGCGMTTTTCAACAGTCGATACAAGAATGTAATCAATAATCATCAACCAATAAGCRCTAACTGTGACCAGCGATTCTCAAACTTTTATGAACACTGTACCACTTTTTACTAATAMATTTTTTGGGTTCCCTTTCTTAGTTACTAAACTAAAATATATATTATTTATTACTATCATCTATTTTAATCTAAAAGTTTGTTGGTCAGTCTCGTACCACTCAAAATATTTTGAGTACCCCCAAGGCCCAAGGGGTACGCGTAACACAGTTTGAGAATCTCTGCTATAGACTTACTCTATCTTTTTAATACTTTATACTACGAAGTGTAATACTATAACACTGGCTAAAATATTGGAGGAAAATAGTCATAACTTTAGTCGAAAATAATGTGGTAGAAAATGGACAGTGGAGGAAAACAGTATCTCGTTTTTGGAGGAAAATGGAATCACCCTATAYAACCGTGGTATTACAACGGCTGCTTCGGCGCCGCCGAAAATTCAGGGAAAGTTCGTACGCACGTGTGATGTGCGAAAGTCAAACGACGATTTCGGACGCACCAGTTGCACATGTATAGTTACCACAAGTACCTATGACCAGATAACATAATATATACTAACACGGGTAACGCGTATTATAAAGCCAGATTCCCTGCTACGTCGTGCGTCGTGTCGCGCGAAGACGTGTTATAACTATGGTTACAATTGGTAACCCTATTGGGTCAAAAGTTTTCAAGTATTCAATTCTTGGTATCCTCGTTTTAAACTTGATTATACCACCATACAAAAAGTGAGACCAGAATGTGTTTTGACCGACACGACGTAGCTGCAGTGAATCCGGCTTTATTGTTATTAGAGGAGAG